AATGGGGTGCTCTAAGAGGATTTGTATTGTGCCGTGACCATGGTAAATAGGTGTCATTGAAAGGACAGATAAAACTCCCATGAGGGTGCGTCAGTCACAAAGGAAATCTGCGCAGATTGCAGCCCATTAGGCATGACGTTACGAACTCGCTCGTACACACGAGGCAGGCGCAAATGCCTTCGAGATTTCCGGAGGTGCATTGTGCTATCCTTTACACTTCACAGCAGGCTGTAGATGCGGCAACTGGTGAATTTAGGAAAATGAAATTACCATTTGAGAAGCATGTTACTTGAATTCACTGTCACAGCATTTAGCTTTGAATAAAGTGATGTTCCGCCAGTTTTGAATTGTAAAACATCATCATAGGGAGAAGCAATATCGCTTGCATAAGTGACGCGAATTAGGAAGTGAAACAACTCGTAATGGGGAGGAAGGAAGCATAGCAACATGAAGCCAGACGTGTGATGGGTGAAGGTATAAAGAGTGTCCTGTTCGGCGACATCAGGTTTCACCTCATTATTTTCTCAATGAGCACTAAACCAAACGAAAATTACATTGGAGGTCTCCACCTCAGCAAATGCATTCCTACTACTCTGCACTTTTCCACTCGACACACCAAAGCTGGCAATTTGGCTTTTGTGGAAGTGCCGTAAACAATACCAAGTGCAATTAATGAATGAAATAGCAACTCATTTTAATTGAATCCCACGCAGCCGATTCCCAAAGCCATATTTCTTGACTTTGACTAGAAACAGTCACTCCTAAGCACATTTCAGGAATACAATCGCTACCCTGAGAGAAGATACACTTGGTAACCTCGAAGAGTAACGCAACCTTGCAGCACGGTGAGGATTCCTACTTGACTATTTATGCTGGAGACTGCAATGTCCTTAGGGAGAGTGAACACGCTATGGCAATACGCTCCTATCGCATCACTTGGGCCTATTAGGCCTCGCAATATTGCCAGTCCTGAGTCACTATACTGGCAGTTCTACACTACGGCATTTCTGCCACCAACTCGTCAACACAAATGTGATACCACTACTCACGTCAGGGCTTACTGACGGGCATGTGCGAGCCTGAGCCTGCATTAAGAGTCACCGCTTTCGTGTACACA